CCACAGCGTACGACATTGCATGAGATTCTGTCGGTGCTGGTTGATCTTCGGTTGTGTCAAACCAGAGCTTAGGATCCATGCGCTTTTGGTGTTTGAGGAACATGTTATTCCGATTTTTCCCACCCATCGGTTTCTGGGATTTGGTTATTTGTTTCCTCGATTTCGGTGCTTTTGGAGATTTTAGTTCCGGCGCTTGTTTCCTCGTGGTTGGAATGGACGCTGCATAAGCGTTTTTCTCCATACAATCCGATCGATAACACGAGAAACGAGCAGATCGCAAAGGTCTTGGGCGTAAACGTTCTTTCCATGCGGTCACAACTGGTCTCGGTTTCAGAGTGCATGAACTGCGCCCGGAACAAGAACCCAATGATTTTCGTCCTCCTGGAGTAGCTTTTTTGCTTGGAGACTTACGCTTGGATCGGATTGCAACCGATCGTTTCGGAGTGGAAGTTCGTTTTTTCTTTTGAGTCGAAGACACTTGCTTCGGAGTTAATGATTGTGCTCTTTTTGAACTCCAGGACCGCCTTCGCTTTGGAGTGACTGCTTTCAGTTTCTCGGATGATTTGCGTTTAGAAGAAGCTTTACCGATACGTTTTGCAAACGGACACACGTTGACTTTCACAACACTCGATTTATCAATTATCTTGCGGTTTACAACCGGCTTTGTTTGTTTCTTCGTTGGTCTTTTCGATGCTCTTAATTGTGGCCGTGTTTTCTTACGACCAAGTGCTCTGGGCGCGAACGGGCAAGCACTGATTCTGTTAGATTTTTGGACCAGGCGTGTTTTGTGAACAGTCTTTCGTCGCACTTTGGCAGCGGGTGAAGAGCTCGCGCTTCGACTTCCCTTGCGTTTGATCGCCTTCTTCGACTTCATGACATCTCTCTTTGGGCCCTTCGCATGACTGCTTCTTCGACTGGGTTCTGAACGAGATTTGGACACTCGGGGCTTACGTGACGGAGTGGTGGATTTGCGTGACTTATGAGTGTGTACAGGTTTTTCCACCACAAGTAAGCAGTCTGAATCACTTGTGGGATGTGTGTTCAAATCAGGCGGGGTCGCGTTAGCCGCATTCGTAGCGTAAAACGCACGAGAAGCAGGCATTCGGTCGTTTATACCACCCGTGGCGCCGAGATCCACTATGATCAGCGAGACCTATCGAGTTGTCAACAATTCAAAAACCAGTCAAACCAGGCCTAACTATATCGATCGATATATATGTATGACCAGGGTTAATTGTCACATGACTATAGGGCAAAATGGATCACAACCCGATTAAATACAACCAGGTGCATACTAAACACAGTACGTGCAAACGAGCGCAATTTGTTACCGGACAGGACAATTTAGGTAGTAATTAGCTCGAGCAAGATCGTTCAACATGCTTGTAACAAGCTCCTGAACCGTTGTTCGCATTGCCAGTCAGTGACCAATATGGTGGGATCATCGTCCAAACAAATTATGGAGCTACGGAAATGCGAAGTGTCCCATAATAGATTCAGTTACTGGCCTGAATAAACAGAATCAATGATAACGAATTGCATAGACGAATTAGGGCAGATCCACACGCAATGACACCCTAAATTGTGTTTGAAAATCAAACCGCCTAAGCGACTGTGATAAGAGGCGTCCATGGGTGAAGTGAAGGAGACCTGGTAACAGTCCATAAACGCAGAATAACAAAAATGAAATACCAAAACAATATAACGGGTTACACTTATATTCAGGTGAAGAACAGAAGACTCGCAGCGTGAGCCGATTCCCACATACAAGGGGGTCCCAGTACAACAAAAAGTGAGGAGCAGACAACAAATAAATCAAGGAAGTTTCATGTTTACCAATCCTGTTGTGCTCATGCACACTATACCATTTTTCATGGTGATAATATATTATAAATGACCGGAGCATTGCATCGATTGTTCGAATGATGGGATTTAGTGACTTGCGAAAGGTGGTTGCAAAACAACCTAACACTGAGAAAATTGAACAAGCATTTATTTCCCAGCCATGAGTTACATTACAGTTTGGATTATAAAACAGCACCCCGACAGAGCATTCAGCCCCCGTAACTGCCCGTTGAACTGTCCAACTATATGAAATGCAAATAGGGGTGTTACGTGCCTAAATCACTAAGCCTTAACTCAAAAGCTATTTTTATTAACTGTTTGTACGTACAAATTTACAACTGGATAAGAAAAGCTCGCTGCTGCTGACAGGAAAGGCTACCTACCACCACAGAACTCATCCAATTGTTATAGGTAAATGAGCCACCAATGAAACAAGGCCGTCCAAAGTGAACAGAAGAAGAAAAAACCGGTGAGGCCGAACAACAGACGAAGGAATGCGTGTGTGTATCACAGTAATTCATATCAGACCAACAAACCAACAACAAATTAAGGGACCGTGTGAAGAACAACACGAGCACCGGAGTGTTTCAAAATTGGTACGATGATAAAGGTCAGGGGACAGGGGGGGGAGGCAGAGCATAACTGACGAGGGAAGAGAGCCCGAAACGCATGGACTCTGGACAAAGCTAACAGTGAGAAAAAAGGGCGTGTTGTCAAAAAGGGAACACAAAAACAATGAAAGTGAAAGAAAATAAACAGCACGAGCGAATAAACCAAAAGAGGCAAAAGTGAATTCAATTGAGAACAAAAAGAAGAACGTAGCACAGAGACGAACGAGGGGGCAGGGGGTGGGGAGGGGATAGGATCACGATGTGCGTTTTGTAGACGCGCATCAACCACAAGTATTATTGTTGTTATGAACAAAAGTTTACAAATGAGTGCGTTTAGAATGATGCGTAGCATCCTCCAACAGCATTGTCCATAAGGTCACACAGCGAGTGATTTTTTTCTCAAGCCCACATCTCGAGAAGCGTGCCAAGGATATTCATCGATGAGTATATGAAACAATAGTGACCGAGAACGATATGAACGACTAAATGAGCTGGCGGACAAACGACGACCGTAATGGAGAAACAGACTGTGAGTGTGATGCCGTCGCGCGGGGGCTAGATCAAATGCGCTGGATTTCGAAAAGACGCACATTCGTATCGTACCAGATTGGGGGATTGACATTCCTGATAGAAAGGGCCGGACAGAATGAATGAGCACACAATAAGACCTCAAAATAGCAAAGTGTGTATATAAAGTTTTAAAGCAATGAATCAAATTACTTAATACGGAGTCGATGTAAGAGATAGGTGGAGTGAACAGTGAACAGTTTATCCAAATGGTGCATATCAAAGAAATCAAAGAAATGTCAGGATGCAACCAAGTTTAAGGATGGAGGCTCAGCGTTAGTCTTGGAGTTGACAAAACTCCTAGGCTCAATATGGGAAAGAGAGGAGGTTCCAGCTGATTGGTGTGAGTCGGTGATCATATCGATTTACAAGAAAGGTGATAGATCCTCTTTTGAAAATCATAGAGGAATTAGTTTAATCAACATCGTCTCTAAACTTCTCG